TCAGTTGAAAGATGTATGAGTAAGAACGTCAGTATTTTATTTATTATTCATTTTTAATAATGAGTACATCTACTATTGGGCAACATACTATCACTATCTCCCGCATCACCAACATCCATTTTATGAAATTCACCTCTTCTGCATCAGCAATGCCAAAAATTGTTACTATCTAAAATTAGTGTGGGCAAGGTTACTATCCAGCAAAGTAGACTTACACATCAAATAATTTATTTTGCAACCAAGTATTAAGGAAAAATGTGATGATGTACAAAAAGAAATCTGTAATATCAGATAACGAACTATACTCTTCAACAACGCGACCAGAAGAGAGCTGATATTCGTGTTGAGCGATCCCAAAAACCCCGAGGAAACGAGTTTCGGCTAAGTTTATAACGAATTTCCACAAAACTCCAGGAGACGACGTGGAAACTGGCCACCCTGGGGCACTAGGTACCTCGGAGACCGTTGCCGTCGTGATATTCGTGTTGAGCGATCCCAAAAACCCCGAGGTAACGAGTTTCGGCTAAATTTATAACGAATTTCCACAAAACTCCAGGAGATGACGTGGAAACCGGCCACCCTGGGGCACTAGGTACCTCGGAGACCGTTGCCGTCGTGATATTCGTGTTGAGCGATCCCAAAAACCCCGAGGTAACGAGTTTCGGCTAAATTTATAACGAATTTCCACAAAACTCCAGGAGATGACGTGGAAACCGGCCACCCTGGGGCACTAGGTACCTCGGAGACCGTTGCCGTTGTGATGTTCGTGTTAAGCGACCCCAAAAACCCCGAGGTAACGAGTTTTGGCTAAGTTTATAACGAATTTGCACAAAACTCCAGGAGACCACGTGGAAACCGGCCACCTGGGCACTAGGTTCCTCGGAGACCGTTGCCGTCGTGATATTCGTGTTCAGCGACCCCAAGAACCACCGAGTAGTAAAATTGAACTCATTTCTGTAAAATAGATGTTATTGTTGGTATTGTTACCTTCTATACATGGGTCATCACAAAGCAGTTATCTCGACAACAGCCGGGTCATTCGTCAGAAATTAAGAGGGTATATGAAACAAATAACAAAATTACTGTTCTGTCAATAAAAACAAATAAATAGGTAACTCACCGGGGGGTTTCACTCCCCCTAACCTTAGGATTCAAGGTATATCCCTCCATACGATTCCATTATATCAATTAGTAACTATGTATCATTCTTTCTTCAACAACTAGCTAGTGTCACCTGAAATAAGTCGAGGCTCCCCCGGACGCCAACTAGTTAGCATCCCAACTACCAGGTGTGTGAGTCACACTATTATTATTATGCCACCTACTCAACACCACCCAGTATGTGTCAATCAAAGCGCATGCAAGACCCCGTAGAACTTACAAGACACACTTTGAAGGAACCACAGCCATAAAGACCGGGAACACGTGGCATGCCCTGGGGTTTTCAAAAACATAAACGAGTATGGCATATTACTCACAAATTCACAAATCATTAAACAAATATATTCAAGCTAGCACACAGATATAATCGACCTTATTCGGGCGCTGGCCAGGCACCACTGTCTCAAAGAACACCCTCTCTGTTTCGGCATTCTCAGCTACATTTCTGTATATACCCATAAATTACATTATTCAAGGGCACATAAATACTTGGCTGGCGCATTCCGTGTATAAATACAGCAGAGGTTTTATTCAAAGCAACCACGATAGTTTCATTTCATAATAAAATATATATTGATTCGTATTATTACAATACGTTAAAAATAAACAAGTGTTACATTTCCGTCAATATTTTCCGAGTAAATTTTTCATATTTTAACTTTTCAAGATGCAATTTTAAAAATGCATTTTTCTTATGCACCGATGCAATTTTCATTTCTCATTGATCACATAGGGTCACAAACTTTCTGGACGCTCTAACGAATCGAATGCAAAAAAACGCATCACAATCCATCTTACTGCACAGATTTCAGAGGTAAGGCCGTTTTTAGTGCTTTATTTCCTCGACTATAAGATAATATGTTGTAAGGCACATACGTAAAAAATATATTTATGCACATACGCAGCATTTAAAAAAAAACACTCGCTTTGTTCGTGTTCGAATAATAAAGAATGACTTTTTACGCTTCTATCTTTAAATATTTATTAAGACGTTCACGCTAATATTCACGGAAGTTGTGGTAATCCCTACCAATTAATTTAATCTTCTTAAATGCTGATACGCGAGTTTATCTGAAATGTATACTAACAAATGACATTCAAGTGATTTGTAATGAGTTGAGGTATTATTGCGTTAGTAACAAAAATACTGAAAGGTAGCATAAACTATGTGAGTAAAAATGTCAAGTTGAATTATTATACTTCTCATAAATGTATAAAAAACTGCAATTCAACTCTGAATTTGCTCCCTATAACATATTTATAAGAAATGTACGTTCTTTTAGATAGTGCTTGAAAATATGTGTCAGTGTAATAAAAGTGGTTATAGGCCACAATAGGCGTGCATAAAAATTTTATTTATTTTTGAACAGGGTAAGTTTGTAGTCTCTAATCGACAACAACTGACAGTAGTAAAAAATGAATTCCTTTAATGCTCCAAGCTAGTTATAGATGTTTATAATTATGTAAAAATTTAAATTTTGCCACGTGATAAAAAACGCATTGTGACGTCATTTAGTGCGATCGACAACACAACCTACTTCTCGGCCGTCTGCCGTCTAGACTGCAATTCCCATGTCGACACTGCCCATAAAAGGGAACGTAATCTAAAGAAATACGAGTATACATGAGGGCAGCTTCGAAATAAAGTCAATTTGCCTGTCACTAGACTTGTTACTTACTACGCTGATGATATTGGACCATCATGTCCCTGTCATTCAACTTCCCTATTCTCGATCGCACTAAATGACGTCACGAAATAGCTTGGCAGCAAACACTCCTTTAAAACATTTAACGCCAAACCTTAATAATATAATCAATTATTATTAATTAACAATCTTTAAGAAATATAAGACATTTTGACTATGTGATTGATTATACATGGGTATAGATTATTTCTAGGTGTATAAAAAATATATACGCCAGTTGCCCATATCTGCATCCGACATTTGTATTGCACTGTAAATTTCTGTAATAATTATGTTTAGTATTAGATTGTTCATAGTTTTTTTTAATTAAATTTCTCTAAAACGCACCTATGTATGTTGTTTATAAAAAAAAATTAATAAAAGAGATAAAAGGTATATTTCTGAGAGGCAGAGATAAGGCCTCCATATTCTTATAATCCCAAGCACATAAACAGTATTTGCCTTATAACTGACCTAGTATGTACACTAAGCTATTTTTTTAACCTCTATGTAAATCAGATAAGAAATAAAAAATATATGAAATTAGATACTTCACTATACTCTAGTCGAATTAGATCATAAAAGCCGATCATTTAAAAAAATTATTAGTAGACATTTTTTTGTACTTTATAACGGGGGTATGTAGAATAATAATATCAAAAAAGTATCTCGAAAGAAGTGGCGCTAAGTTGGTAAATTGCAAATAAGTGGAAAAATTACGTGTTTTTTCCACTTTTTTCCTACCCATGAAAATCTAGAGGTTAATATAAGTGTTAATTGATCCAAAGAAACGTATCGAAAAATTTCAAAAGGTTGCTCTTTACAACTAACAAAGTAGCAAAACAGCGTTATAAACAAATTGTCCCAGGTTCAGACAAAAACTGCTCGGGAATTTGCTCTTTTTGCGCGAGAGATTTTAACTCTGAAAATAAAAGGCGCATGTTATTTCTCTTTTTTTTACCTTAAAAATAAGCTCTATTTAATGTAAAAAGAGCAAATTCCCGAGCGGCTTTTGCCTGCCCTGAGACAATTTGTTCGCTGTAAAGAGCAACTTAATTTCAACTTTTTGAGATTTTTCTTTTTCTATACGTTCTTTTGGATCAATTAGAACATATATTACTAACTTCTAAAATTAACGTTTAGTAATTAAACAATTAGATGCACAAAAACGACAGAAATTAATTAACAAATACCTGGAACAACAACTTCCCGACCTCTAACACACATGTTGGTCATTGGATTGACCGTCTTTTTCATAACTTTCATAATAATGCGCAATTTTCGAAAACTGAATTTTCCACGTTCGACCTTTATTTTACAGTTAACAAATTGGTGAAATATGACCTTAGATACCTTAAATTGTAGGTAATTTAATTGCCTACAACATAAAATGACACATTTTCGGATAAGTCTTCTAGATTTTCAGACAGTAAAAAAAATTAAACACGTAATTTTGCAACTTATTTGCAATTTGCCAACTTAGCGTCAATTCTTTCGAGTTACTTTATTGATATTATCACTCTACATACCCTTCCCCATAAAAAAGTGCAATAAAATGTATACTAATAATTTTTTACGTTCAAACTCTGACTCGACTGGAGTACTACAATTTTGTGGGATTTACATAATGTTAAGAGCTATAATTACTCTCTCATTTGAAACAATTCTTTTTATATAATGGTTGGTTAATATAACAAAAAAGTAATAAACAGTAGGTACAGTATCAATTTCAGTTCGTGCCTGTTGACCTCCAGTGGTAACAACTTTCAAAAAACTTGGTAATTGTTTTATAATACGAGAAGAATGTACTATCCAAAATTAAATTTTATTACCTCAAAGTACGTAGTAATAGTAAGACGTAATAATTCCAGCATCGGCCGCCTTGATGTAAATTTAAGTTGCCGATACCTTCGCACTCGCAGTAATAAACGCCTGTTGACACTAGCTTATGTATTTTGAAAAACGCAGAAGTGTAGTTCTGAAGCTCATTCTAACTCGAGGAGATAAGGTAGAATTTGGTGTCCCGTCCCTGTGTAAATAAAACACATGCCCATATATTACACGTACGCAAACAACCTGATAAAACGTAAAATATGCTACTAAAACAAAGATATAATTAGTAAAGCAAATTAAACGTCGTCTTGTTTCAGATAGTTCGAGAGCGGCGAGCAAAGCGGTGTGCAATGCGATCCAGTGTGCGCTGAAAGTGCCGTTATGCCTTGGTGGGGATCCAACTGGCAGCAGGATCTAACACCGCTTGATCACGACTCCGTCAACGGCTTCGAGTACCATCCCGTGATGGATAACACGAACGGCTCGTACTTCGACGAGCCCTACAAGACGAACGTCACCTTGGAGCAGTGCAAAGCCCAGTACGCCAATCAGACAGCGGCGCTGCAACAACTGCACCCGGAGGGGTTCTGCCGAGTGACGTTCGATAGTGTTTTGTGCTGGCCGCCTACCGCGATCAATGACACTGCAACTATCAAGTGTTTTTCCGAACTGTTCAACATCAAGTACGATGACACACGTAAGTTTTGTGTTCTGAAAGGAATTTTACGCTAACGATTACTTCGGATTTTTATTTTTGCTTACAACTGAAAAAATGGGTTTGATAGTTATTTCTGTATTTTTGGGGACATTTCGTGTGACCTTCCGGCAAAATATGATGTCATGACGAACAACAAATTAAATTAAATGTTCAAATTGTTGATCACCCGGGAAATGAAAAAACAGCAAAATGCAGTATAGTAATGTTAATAATGTTTTTGATTGTTGAACAGTGTATTATTTACTTAATTTCTGAGTTTTTTTTGTAAATCGAGCATAACGTTCAATTGTCTATTTATTTTGTTTTTATTTTCAATTCTGGTAATTTTGATTGTTGATTTGTCACCGTTTAGTCACATGGACACTGTATAACAATGTTACTTAAAATAAGTAATTGTCAAGTGTAGTTGTAAAGTTTGAAAGAATAGCGCGTTTAACTGAGAAGCAACGAATAGATATTTTAACAGTGGTAGGATATTGCCACAGGACTCTAACACAAGCTGAAGTTTGCGAATTGTTTAATGATAAGTACCCGAAGAAGCCTGTTACATGATCGGTAGTTAGTAAGATAAAAACTAGTTATTTACGCTATAAAGGAGGTAAGTATTATTTACCAGTCGAGGACGATTTTGCGCCCGAGCAGAGCGAGAATTCTCTAAAAATGTACGTACATTTAGAATTACTTCTCGTCTGGGTTCCGTTTTTCACCAAGAAATTCTCAAGAAATATATCCAGATTAGATTGGAAATTAAACTGAAATTTCACGCTTTTTTATGTGCTATCAAGACGGTAGATGTTACAACCAACCATTTGGCAAAAATACCTTCTCTATGACTCCTAATAAGATTACACAGTTTTTGAAACTGGAACATCCTGAAACATATACAGGCCATTCATTCCGAAGAACATCAGCAACGTACTAGCTAATACAGGAATTGGTGTATTAGCACTCAAGAGAAATGGTGAGTGGAAATCAGTCACAATTGCAGAAAGTTATGTTGCTAACAGTTTAAGTAACAAACATTAAATAGCCAACAGGATTCTTTACAATGACACTTCAACTGCAGGTTCTAGCAGTACATCGCATGCCGTTTTAATGGATCAGTCAGATAATATTGAGCCTTCGGTGTAGTCGTTAAAAATAGTGTTTCGATCATTCAAATCTAGATAATTTTATATGGCCCATTAATAGTATAAAAATATTAATCCACCGAGATATACAGGGTGTCCGGAAAGATCATGTCAAAAATAAAAGGATATACAAGGGAGGTCTAATTAGCTGTAGTACTTCATAAAAAAAATCCGTTGTGGAGTTATTTGCCTTCAAAGAAAGAAGTTTGAAAAACAAATTCCAATTATAACTTATGTCATTATCACGACAAAAAAGGAAATTTGGGCATGGTAATGTTCATTTCCAAGATTAAACTGATATTCAATATGCCTGGATTATACAGGAGCAGACTAAATTATCCATCTAAATTTATACATATTTGACAGTGTTGTCAAATTTTACATTTTTCTTTCATAGTTCGATTCCTCTCTCACTTTGGTAAAAAGCCATATCAAACTATCCAGAACTGCTCAGCAAAACGGAAAAACCGCTGGAAAAAGTGTGTGGAATGGGGCAGGGGAGTACTTTGATGTAAACAAGGACCAATCATGTATAAAGTTGATAATAAAGTTTGGTTATATTCCAGTTTCTTTAAATGTAACGAAAATTCGTACATTAATGTTAGTTATTCGTAGAAAATATTTCTACATTAAATTATTTGATTAAAAAATTGCATAATTTTGCAAAATATACATAGTAAATACACTTAAGAAATTGGGATGGACGAAAGAACGTTTATAAAAATTTATACATATCGGGTGGAACTAGTAAGATGAATTTAGTATTTTCCTTAACCTGACGATTAGTAAGTATAACTTTCTAGTTTCAAAATGAATAGCTCAAATAACAAAGATATCCAAATCTCAAGGTACTTCAGGGCTAAAGGCTTTCCTTCCCTTCAAATTCATATCAGTAGAAATATTCCATCTGGGATTTCTGCCGATAGAATAAAAACAAGCAATTAACTAATCCAAAAATTGTAACCCACCAGTTAATTTGCACAAAATCACAATTAGAACCAAGTTCATTTAACTTTGTAATTAATAAGTTTGAAGACGCTCCCCATAGCTTTAAATAGTCTCTGACAGAAGTTTTAAATGCTTAAAAACAAAGGCAAACTTCTGTAAGTCCAAAGTTGGACCTTGTTTGCCGCCGCATTCAAAATACTTTTAAAGGAAGGAAATTGATTGTTGTCATTTTGTTTTCTGTTTGTGACCAACTTGAAAACTCGATGACGAGTTTTCGTTTCCATAAAGGGTTTATTTGGAAACCACAATTTTAATGATCTTTCGAACTTTGCATTTCATATATTATATACCCGTTTTTATGAAATCTAAAAACATTAGTTACCCGACAACATCAACTTTAAGCCTTAACAGAAAACACGTCTTTGATCACGTATTTTTTAAATTAAACCAAGTTTTATGTCCATAGCATTACCGTAACGCGCGATTTGAATTCGATGTGCTTCTGGTGGATTAAATTGGGTATCATTTTATTTCAGCAATGAATAACATACCTATATATGTTTACTGCAAATAGTAGGTTTGGTCACGTTTTAATGAGTGTAAACAGGAAAATGAGGTTCATATGATATTCCACTAAAATTGCAACGGTATTATTAAAATATTAATGTCAACAATATCTATTTGCTGAACCTGATCGTTGTTTTCTACTCTCTTAGTTTAGACGAGATTTGTATAATAATTAGGGTCAAGTAACTGTTCTAAAAACCAACAGAGACAGACAATATTAAACGAACAGTAGACACAACGTAAACAACTATATGTACATTTGGAGCAATACAGCAAAAACCTCAGTTTGCCTTGTCACATAACATGAGTTGTTTACTTAGGTATTAGGTAAGTCATTTCGAGTAAACAAGACTAGTTGATGTTTATCATTCTGCAAATGCGAAATTATCATATGAACTTGAACTTTGTAATTTAATTTCCAGAAATCCCGAACAGTTATTGACGTGAAAATAGAGGTTTTGTTTTCTCAGATGTAGCACATCAAATCTGCATCACTGATGAAGTCAAACAAGTTGTTGAATTTGGACTATACGAGGCCAAACATGTGTGTAATTTTCGGAATATTCAACAAGCGTTAAATGATTTGTTTTTTACGTAGTAATAATTATTGTTTACCAATACAAATTAATGATACTATTTCTTATATTGGAGGTCCCAAAATACAGGGTTATTAAAAATGGAGCGCTTACACGAAAGAAAAACGCGTTTTCATGGTTGAGAAGTATTTTGAAAATAATGAAGGTTTTTCGCAATTTTCGTACAAAATATTGTCGAAATAGTTATTTAACTTCATCAATTGTGAAGAGATTAATTGAATAATTCCAGGAGACTGCATCAATTAATTATCTTAAACACTCTGGCCATCCTTCAACAAGTCGTGTTGAACAAAACATCGAAGCAGTTCCTGAGAGTGTTGCTGAGAGTCCAGGAACATCAATTCGGCATAGTGGTCAAGAATTGGACATTTCGAAAAGCTCTGCATAGTGAATTCTCCCGAAATATTTGCATCTTCATACTTACTTTCAATTGACTCAAGAACGGTACCGCATGCCATATAGACCAAGGCGGATCTATTTTGAGATGGATGTGAGAGGGGGCAAGCAAATTTTTTCTGGCCTCTAACCTCTGGGCGAGGTCCGGAATATTTTCAAAATTGCAAAAATGTTTAAAATTTTTTTAAAAATACCTATTTTATCTGAGTTTTTTATTTATATCTTGGGACCTATGCATTTTGGAAGAATATTGAAGAGGAAAAAAGTTTTAGAATTAAATTTTGCACAATAGACTGTAAGTTAAAAATGTTTAAATTTATTACCGATGTTGCAAAATAGCAGTAATTGATGAAAAAATGCAAAATAATCAAGTTTTTTGGATAATTTTTTTTTAAATATTTTAATTGTACCGAGGGCATTCTAATTTTTGTAAAAAAACTTTATAGTATTTTAAAACAACACACGCAATTTCATTAAAATCGGTTCGATAATTTTCCCAAAATAATTTTTTGAAGAGTTTTGAAAAAAATGTTCGAATTTTCAAAATTTTGCACAGACTCAAATAAAGCATCTAGATAGGCACTTGAAAATTTTTTCACATAGAAAAGACCGCTCAACCTCAAATGCTTTTTGAAAAATTGAAATCGGCTGATTAGGACGGCAACAGTAAATTTTTATAAAAATTATAATTTTAAAATACTATTTTTTCTTAATTTTATCTGTATTTAACAAAAAAAAATATTTACAATTAATTTAAGTAATTACATTTATAAAATTATTTAAATAATTGTAATAATTATAATTAAATATATTAATATTCAGTGTTAAAATATATACGTAAACAAATTCATTGAAAAAATGCAATAGCATAGGGGTTAAAATATACAGTACATTTAATGCATATAGAATAAACTTTATTTATAACAAAATATGTTCAAATTAGACAGTTGGCATTACGATATTCGAATTCCTTGGCTCGCGAGACATCGGATTAAACAAAAAGATCGAAATTGGTCCATTAGAAGCCGAGATATTTTTTTTCGTACTTGTGCATTTTGAACCTTCGAATTCAGTCTAGGAGCGAAAGCCCCCTCCCCCACTTTCCGTCTTTTGAGCCACTTTTCGCGCGTGCGAGCGACAGCTTTTCCGCTGATTTATCTATGTCGCCGATAACTTATGGATATGAACATTTTTTCCAGCTTAGAACCCGGAAAAACGAAGCTACTGGATCAAAGATTATTGCTAAATTGTTTATAAGTTAACGGTAAATGCCGATAAACTTTGACCGCTTATATCTCGAGAACCAATAAACGGAATTTAACTTTTTTTTTTAAAGAAGCAT